AGCTACTTGGGAAGCTGAAGCAGAAGGATTGCTTGAGCCCAGGAGTTTGAGGTTGCTGTGAGCTAGGCTGATGCCATGGCACTCTAGCCTGGGCAACACAGTGAGACTCTGTCTCAAATAAAAAAAAAAGAATATCCAAAATACTTAAAAGTAAGGCAAGATTGTGTGTGTTCATTCTTGCATTTGTTTATCCCATCAGTCAGACATTCTTTGTTTTTCTTAGTTTTCTTAGGTTTCCTCTCACAATTACCAAATATTAAAATACAGCCAACTTTGACTAAGCGTGTTTGCTCACGTCTGTAATCCTAGCACTGTGGGAGGCCAAGGTGGGAGGATTGCTTGAACTCAGGAGTTTGAGACCAACCTGAGCAAGAACAAGACCCCATCTCTACTAAAAATAGAAAAATTAGCCAAGTGTTGTGGTGAGCGCCTATAGTCTCTGCAACTTGGGAGGCTGAGGCAGAAGGATAGCTTGAGCCCAAGAGTTTGAGGTTGCAGTGAGCTATGATGACACCACTGCACTCTAGCCAGGGTGACAGAGGGCATGGTGGCTCATGCCTGTAATCCTAGCACTTTGGGAGGCCAAGACAGGAGAATTGCTTGAGGCCAGGAGTTTGAGACCAGTCTGGACAATGTAGCAAGATCCCATCTCTATAAAAAATTAAAAAATTAGCTGGGCAGGGGGGCATGCACCTGTAGTCCCAGATACTTGGGAGGCTGAGCCCCAAGGATCACTCAATCCCAGGAGTTTGAGGTTGCAGCGAGCTATGATTGTGCCACTGCACTTTATCACAGGTGACAGAGCAAGACCCTGTCTCAAAAATAAATAAATAAATAACTAAAATAAAATAAAAGGATCATAACCAAAACCAAGTGTGATTTTTCCCAGGAATGCAAAATTGGTTCGATACCTGAAGATCAATTAATATGATATACCATATTAATAGAATAAAGGACAAAAAACCATATGATCATCTTAATAGACAAAAGCATTTGACGAAATCCACACTCCTTCATAATAAAAGCACTTAACAAACTAGGGGTAGAATGGAACTTTCTCAGCTTGATAAACAGTATCTGTGAAATACCCACAGCTAACATCATTCTTAAATGTGAATATTGGATGCTTTCCTCCGAGATTAGGAACAAGATGAGGTTGTGTGCTTTCACCACTTCTATTCAGTTGGAGGTTTGACTGGAAGTTCTAGACAGAGCAATTAGGCAAGAAAAAGAAATAAAAGGTGTTCAATTTGGAAAGCAGTAAGTAAAACTCTATTTGCAGATGACATGATCTTGTATATAGAAAATCCTAAGGAATACACACACAAAAAAAAACTATGAGAGCTAATAAATGAGTTCAGCAAAGTTGCAAAATTCTAGATCATGATACAAAATTCAGTTGTATTCCTATACACTAGCAATTAAAATCCAAAAAAGAAATTAAGAAAGCAATTTCATTTACATAGCATCAGAAAAGGAATAAAATACTTAAGAATAAATATAATAGAAGTGCAACACTTGTACTCTGAAAACTAGAAAGTATTGAAAAAATTACAGAAGAACTAAATAAATGGGAAGACATCCCATATTCATGGATGAAAAGAATTAATGTTGTTAAGATGGTTCCCCAAATTAATCTATAGATTCAATACAATCCCTATCAAAATCCTAGCTGCTTTTCTTGCAGAAATTAACAAGCTGATCTTAGAATTCATAGGAATATTCAAGAGACCCAGAATAGTCATAACATTCCTAAAAAAAAAAGAACATAGGTGGAGGACTCAACACTTCTCAATATTCAAACTTACTGCAAAGCTACAGTATCAAGACTGTACGATACTGGCATAAGGGCAGACATACAGGTCAATGGAATAGAATTAAACGTCCTGAAATAAGTTCATACATTTCGTCTTAGTTTGTTTTGTGCTGCTAAAACAGAATATCTGAGACTGGTAAATTTATAAACAACAGACGTTTATTTCTTACAGTTCTGGAGGCTGGTAAGCCTAATGTCCAGGGGCTTGCATCTGATGAGGTCCTTCTTGCTGTGTCATCCTATGGCTAAGGGACAAGAGAACATGAGCAAGACAGAGAGTGAGAGGAAAGGGGTGACCTCACCCTTTTATCAGGAACCCATTCCTGAGATAGCATTAATCCAATTACAAGGGCAGAGCCCTCATGACCTAATCACCTTATAAAGGTCTCACCTCTCAACACTGTTGCATTGGGAATTAATTTTCCAACACATGAACTTTGGGGAACACATTCAAACCATAGGATACTTACAGAGTCAGTTGACTTATGATAGGAGAAAGAACAGTCTTTTTAACAAATGGTGCTGGAACAACTAAATATCCACATGCAAAGAATCAAACTGGACCCCTGCCTTACAACATAAACAAAAAATTAATGCCAAATGTATCAGAGACCTAAATGTAAAAGCTAAAACCACATAACTTTTTTTTTATATATATATATATTTTTATTTCAGCATGTTATGGGGGTAAAGATGATTAGGTTACGTATGATGCCCTTACCCTCCCTCCCCCCCAAGTCTGAGCTTCAAGTGTGTCCATTCCCCCGGAGGTACGCAACTCACTCATTGTTTATGCATATGCACGTCCCCTCCTCCCCTCTCCCCCTCCGCCTGCCCAACATCTAATACATGCACTTAAATGCTGATCAGCTAATACCAGTTTGATGGTGAGTACATGTGATGCTTGTTTTTCCATTCTTGGGATACCTTGCTTAGTAGAATGTGTTCCAGCGCTTTCCAGGAGTATATAGGAGGTGCTATATCACCATTGTTTCTTAAAACTGAATAGTACTCCATGGTATACATATACCACAAAAACCATATAACTCTTAAAGGAAAAGCGTAGGTGTAAATCTTCAAAACCTTGAAATTGGGCAGTGACTTCTTAGATACGACACCGAAAGCACAAGGAACAAGAAAAAAAGGATAAATTGGACTTCAGAACTTAAAACTTTGTGCTTCAAACAGCACTATCAAGAAAGTGAAAGATAATCTGCAGAACAGGAAAAAGTATTTGCAAATCAAATGCCTGGTGAGGGTCTAGCCAGAATATATAAAGAACTGTTACAACTCTACAATGAAAAAGACCAATTTTTTTAAAAATAGGAAAGTAAATGTATTTTTTAACACAGAAAAATAAGCATATTTCTGCAAGATCCACCCCTCACTCCTTCATCACTACTGGACTTTTCTGTTAGTGTTTCCTGTGTCTAAAGTGTGAAAAAGCAAGGCACTGAATCATTTGGTAAATTTGCCCTAATAACTACTTACTTTGAAAAGTAATCCTTATTGCTTAATTTAAAGCTCTGAAAAAGTCTCAGTTCTGTTTCTGTTATGTTTGGCAGCAGGCCAGAAATACTATACCTTACCTTGCCATGCTTCAGTTGACTTGAGACTACCTTACCTCTCACTCATGGAGATTAGAAGCATTGCTTTTTCTTTCTGTAGAAATAAATGTTAATACAAAATTTTTCTAAGATACTGAAAATAGGATCTCTATTTGGAGTTAATCGTTAGATAATCTTAACAGAATCAACCTGCTATGTAGTTTCAGAAAAACTGAGACCTTATGAGGGGAAATGAGACAACTGAAATAGTGGTTTTTTTCCTAAGAAAATTTTGTCCTGTTTTCTGCTGTGCCCAATGCCTGAAACATTTTTTGAGTAAATGAATGACCAAACTCTTTTCTTGAATGGTAAAATGAATGGATTCATCTTATTCTTAGAATATCGTGGCCTTACCATGTAGAAGGAAACTGGACTCAGGAGTCCAACAGGGGGTGGGTCAGTATCTCCCTCTTGTTGCTGTGGGTACACACTGACACCTTTTGTGACTTTCTGTGCCTTTCTCATCTTCCATGAGGGTTATTCTGAGGCTAAATGAGGTAACATATATTAAAGTGCCTCAAATGTATTAGATAATTTAAAAGACACCTATTAATTATTAATTATAACAGTACTGTTTTTTAATGTGATTTTTCTCATTGTTGCATATTCCTCTCAATAGTTCAGCTTCTTTGAGGAAATAACTACTTTGATTTATAAAAAACACAAAGTTTTCCCTGGTAGCCTGGCTGTACCACAGTTAGAAATCAGCCTGCAATGCATTTCTTGCTTCTAATTACAAGTTAAGTGTAAAATGGAACGTGTTCTGGGTTTTTATTTTTTCACTGAATCTGGACAATGGTTTTCGTCATGTGTTTTCTTTTTCCAGAATCCTCTGGATGTTAAAGAGAGCGGGAAGCAGGCATCTAGGGGCGCTGTGAGTGGGGATGCAAAGCGATAGAACCTTTCTGGAGGGCAGTTTCACAATAAATATTAACATTTAAAATACATGTATCTTTTGAGCTAGCAATTCTGTTTTTAGTGGCAAAACTGGCAGTAGAATGTTCACTGGGGCAGGTAAAGCCACATACTGGAAAACCACACAGCCATTAAAGACAATATGGTAGTTCCATAGGTGTCAGCACATACTTACAAAACTATACATATATTTTTTCCCATTTATATCAGGAAAAAGAAACTGTATTCCTGAGGGTGTGTGTGTGAGAGAGAGTGTGATTTTTAATTTTTAATTGTGATTAAAAAACCACATATCATAAAATTTACCAGCCTAACCATTTCTAGTGTGCAGTTTAGTAGTGTTAAGTATATTCACATTGTTAGGCAGCCAATCTCTAGAACTTTTTTATCTCACAAAACTGAAACTCTGTACTCCTTAAACAACAATTCCCCATTTCCTTTTCTCTAAGCCCCTGGCATTCTACTTTCTGTCTCTGTGAATCTGATGGCTCTAGGGACCTCATAAATGGAATCACACAGGATTTGTCTTCCTGTGACTGGCTTATTTGACTCAGCATAACGTCTGCAGGGTTCATCTGTGTTGTAGTGTGTGTCAGAATTTCCTTCCTTGTTAAGGCTGAATAATAATCCACAATATGTATAGACTGCATTTTATTTTTTTTTGAGACAAAGTCTCTCTGTGTTGCCCGGACTAGAGTGCTGTGGCGTCAGCCTAGCTCACAGCAACCTCAAACTCCTGGGCTTAAGCAATCCTTCTGCCTCAGCCTCCTAAGTAGCTGGGACTACAGGCATGCGCCACCATGCCTGGCTAATTTTTTTTTTTTATATATATTTTTAGTTGTCCAATTAATTTCTTTCTCATTTTTTTTTAGTAGAGACGGGGTCTCGCTCTTGCTCAGGCTGGTTTCGAACTCCTGAGCTCAAACAATCCGCCCGCCTCGGCCTCCCAGAGAGCTAGGATTACAGGCGTGAGCCACCGCGCCCGGCCTATATACTGCATTTTATTTATTCATTCGTCCATGGACACCAGGGTTGTTTTCACCTTTGGGCCACAACAAACACAGATGTACAGACACCTTTTTGAGACCCTGCTTTCCATTTTGCACGTGCTCTGATATGCACAGGAAAAGGGCTGAACTCTGGAGAGTGGGACTGGGGTAGAGGGTGCAAGTGCCACTTTGACTTGTATTTTATACACTCTATGTTTTAATTTTTCTACAGTAAGCAGTAGGTTCTGTTTATGATTAGTGAATCATGAAATCACTAATTGTTATGTGTTTGGTTTGTACTCTGTTAAGTCGGCAGACCCCTTACCAGACATAATTCCAGATTTTATGAAAGAATGTAGATCGAGACTGAAGCAGAACCCTTGCAAAAAAGTCTTTGAGGAATGCACTAGGTAAGTGGTTCGTGCACAGCCCTACATGTATTATCAATAGCTAACCCCAAGACAGGGGGCTTACAAAAGGTTTCTCTGCATGAGACAAGTTCTTATCAGAGTACAGTTGACCCTTGAACAACGTGGGGGTCAGGGACACCACCTGGTAAAAAATGTGTGTATAGGCCGGGCGCGGTGGCTCACGCCTATAATCCTAGCACTCTGGGAGGCCAAGGCGGATGGATCACTTAAGGTCAGGAGTTCGAGACCAGCCTGAGCAAGAGCGAAACCCCGTCTCTACTAAAAACAGAAAGAAATTATCTAGCCAACTAAAAATACATATATAGAAAAAATTAGCTGGGCATGATGGCGCATGCCTGTAGTCCCAGCTACCTGGGAGGCTGAGGCGAGAGGATCGCTTGAGCCCAGGAGTTTGAGGTTGCTGTGAGTTAGGCTGACGCCACAGCACTCTAGCCAGGGCAACAGAGCCAGACCCTGTCTCAAAAAAAAAAAAATGTGTGTATAACTTTATAACTTTTATAACTTTATAACCCCAAAACTTAATTACTAATAGACTTACCAATAACATAAATAGTTGATTAACACATATTTTGTATGTTGTATGTATTAATATTAATCTACTGTATTCTTACAATAAAGTAAGATGGAGAAAAGAAAATGTTAAGAAATTCATAAGGAAGACAAAATATATGTACTATTTATGAAGTGGAAGTAGATCATCATAACGGTCTTCATCCTTATCATCTTCACGTTGAATAGGAGGAGGAGGAGGAGGGGGACCAGGAGGGTTGGTCTCGCCATCTCAGGATGGCAGAAGTGGAAGAAAATACCCATATAAGTGTACCTGCACAGCTCAGACCTATGTTGTTCAAGGGTCAACTGTACTTTCCAAATCAAAAAAATGATTGCTTTCTCTAGAAAGAGGTGAATGAAGAATAAGAATTACATATACACAAATGGCATGCTGAAACAGGTCATGTTGAGCCCCAGTATCTAGCATCCCTACGATGGCTCTGGGCTTCTCTGCACAGCCTCCCAAAATGCTTGGCTAGAACGAAAAGACTCCCAAATGTTTTTTCAGACCTAGGCACTTGCTGAAAATATCTTTTCTTTGGATCTTTGTCATATGGACAGGAAAATTTTAAGGCAGAGCACTCTGGCTAAATTCAGCTTCCTTATGCACACAGGAGGAAAGAATGCTTTCTGAGATGATCAGGCCCCGAACATGTAGTGCTTTGTGTATTTGTGTAGACTCATTTCACAGAGGAGGAAACTGAGACCCAGGTAGCCATGGACAAGTTTGTCCTTTACTCTGAGGGCAATTAGAGTGACGTATTCATTATGTGTATGTGGATTTTTTAGCGATAGGGTCTCACTCTGTCATCCAGGCTGGAGTGCAGTAGCATGATCATAGCTCGCTACAGCCTTGAGCTCCTGGGCATAAGCCATCCTTCTGCCTCAGCCTCCTGAGTAGCTGTGACTACAGATGCGCACCACAACACCTGGCTAATTTTTTTTTTTTTTTTTTTGTGGAGACGGTATCTCACTATGCTGCCCAGGCTGATCTCAAACTCCTGAGCTCAAGTGATCCTCCTGCCTTGACCTCCCAAAGTGCTGGGATAACAGGTGTGAGCCACCATGCCTGGCCAGAATTGCATATTTGACTCATGTGTTAGTACTTTTAAAGCTTTCTTGTGTACTTTTAATGCCCAAGGAGGTTTTACAACCTTGTCTCAGGGGTCGGGCATGGTGGCTCACACCTGTAATCTCAGCACTTTGGGAGACCAAGGCAGGAGGATCACTGAGCCCAGGAGTTCGAGACTAGCCTGGCCAATATAGCGAGATTCCGTCTCTACAAAAAATTTTTAAAAAATTAGCCAAGTGCGGCAGAGAGAGACCCTGTCTCTAAAAAAAAGGTATAAATAAATAAGTCTAGGCCTGATGGCTCATGCCTGTAATGCCAGCACTTTGGGAGGCCGAGGCAAAAGGATGGCTTGAGGCCAGGAGTTTGAGACCAGCCTGGGCAACATAGCAAGATGCTCCCCATCTCTAATAAATAAATAAGTGAATAAATAACCTTATTTTAGACTTATCTTGATGTTTTAAGTGGGACTCTGGACCATAGGGAGTTGAGTTCATTAATTCATTCAATAAATAATTTAGTAAGGGCCCTTATATGCTCAGCACTGCCCTAGACACTTGGACTATATTGGCAGATGTAACAGACAAACTTCCTATCTTCAAGCCACTTGTGTGGGAGGGAATGGCTCCCCCAGGCCTGTGCAGCTGCAGTGTGGCAGTGCTGGGGCTGGAACTTGTGATACTTTAATAATGTGGCTGCATTTAAGATAAAAACCAAGGCTTTCTCTCTATCCCTGGCATCTTTTTGAGGTATAGGAGCTCTGCACCCTGAGGAGCTGAGTGGTTTAGATACTTGTTTCCTTCAGTGAGAAATTCAATGACCAGTTGATGTCCCACAGATAAATGGTTTGTCTCTCATCTTTCTCCTAGCCAGGTGTGTGGCACTGGACTAGAATCCTTCCCTCTGTCCTCCAGCCTCCTCCTCTGAAAATGAATTAGAGTAAATGTTCTCTACCATTTTTAGTTTCAGGTCATCTTTTATTTGTTCTTGTTGAATATCCACGTTAGTGGAATTCTAGTGTTTATGATTTCAACTTCCTTTGCAAAAAGATGTTAGCTCTATTTGATAGCTTCTCTGGTGTGGCAGATAGGACAGGCATGGTCTTGATCTCTGATTACTAGTCTTGGGACATTGTGGTAAGAATTTCAGTTCTTCCTCCCTTCATCTGGGACGTCAGAGAAACCAGGAGGGGCCAGTCTTTCAGCCCGTATCTTTGTTCCTCATATCCCTCTCCTGGGCGTGTCCTAAATTCTGTCTTGTCCGTGTGCACTGAATGTAACACAACAGTAATACATGCTTTGGAGGAGTTAATCCGCTTGCCCCTCACAGTAACCCATGAGGTAGGTGAGGTTATTGTCCCTCTTTTACAGAAGGAGAAACTGAGTCCTTAGAGGTTGGGTAATTTACCACAGGTCCCTCAGCCAGTGAGTGGCTGAAGCAGGACTTGTGTAGTCTGTGCGCTTGACCTCTCTGCTGCTCTCCAAGTGACCCTTGCACTACAGCTTGCACGTGGGAGGCACGTTGCTTTATGACAGAGCACCTGGCACCCACACATCCCAAGAAGGGGACCATTGCTGTTTTCATATTTTCTTTTGTCATATTTCACTGCTGTTTTCATTGTTATTTCATGACTATTTTCACTGATAGCATTAAAACCTAATGTGGACTTCTGTAATGGAAAATATATTTAATTGTGTATAAAGATTGACTTTCACATATTCAGTGCTTATTATAATAATACACTAAAACACAGTTGTTTTCACATTGTAATGCAACAAATTTATATAATTGCATAAAATCATTTTCTAGAGTTGTCCATAACTATTTAAGAGAGAAACCATTTGAAGAATACCAAGAAAGCTCATATTATTCTCAGTTTTTACAATGGAAACTGCTGGAAAGGTATGTTCCGATTCAAAACTCAGTAAAAGCTGGGTGCAGTGGCTCCTGCCTGTAGTCCCAGTTACTCTCAAGGCTGAGGTGGGAGGATTGCCTGAGGCTAGAAGTTCGAGGCTGCAAGTGTGCTGTGATTATGCCTGTCAATAGCCACAGCACTTTAGCCTGGGCAACGTAGGGAGACTCATCTCTAAAAAGAAAACCTCAATAAAACAAGTAGTAACTTCTCATAATGCATACTGATTGATGTCTTGAGTTATATATGGTATTTTTGCACAGAAATTAGTGGGTATTATACAATTTCTTCTGATTTAATTGTCTCTGTTCTCTCTTTTTAAAATGGCAGTCAGGCTATTAGTGCAGTGGTTAGAAAATAAAACCTATCTTAGATTTTCTGTAATATAATATGATGCTGTAGGTGAGAGTGTACAGTCCAAGCCCCTGCTCAGTCCAAGCCCCTGCCCCTGCTGTGTGACCTCAGGCAAGTAACTCAGCCTTTATGAACTTCAGGTCCTTGTTGTGTAAATTAGAGGTAATTATAGAATCTACCTTGTTGGACTGTAGCTAGGATCATCTGGGAAATGTGTGTAAAATGCTTGTAGCATAATGTTTGGTGCACAAATAAGTGCTCAAAAAGTGTTAACTGCCTCTAGTGTTGTTACTACTATTATCGATTGATTGATTAAATTTCCAATTCTAGTCCATAGATGTTTCTTTTGAGATATTAGGTCTATAAACATCTCCTTGAGGTTCTTTCTTCAAAGGACAGCACTCTGTATATATGCCATTTTCCTCAACAGCTTCTGACAGGTTCAAAGAGGTATACTTAAGATTATGCTATGTCTTATAAGTTATAAACATAAATATTTCCTATTGTTGGCTGATTGTAAACCTGTCCTTAGTTAGTGCAGATAATTGGACTGTTCTGTCTCTTGCTTTGGTGTTTTCAGTAAATCTTAAGATTAATTAATTGCTCTTAGTGCAGGTAGAAAGCTGCCCCACTAGCAGGGGCCGCAGCCCCTTAGCACAGACACCCTTTGTCCTGGACACTCCTTTTGAGCAATGTGGTTCAATAAATAAGGCTAAGACAAGCACTGGGTAGGCTTTTCTGTTGTAAAATAACAATGTGATATGAGACCTGAAACTTTTTTTTTTTAATTGTTTAGGCAACCAGTAACAAAGAACATGTTTAGACATTACAGAGTTCTAGGAAGAGGAGGATTTGGAGAGGTGAGTAATGTGTGTGCCAGTTAAGAGCGGTACTTCTGTGCCAGTTAAGAGCAGTACTTCTAGCTAGGTATGTTTACCTAGGCAAGGCCATTGAAAGACATGGGCTTCAGGTAATGTATCAGCTTTACCAATAAATTTATTTTCTTATTATGCATTTAGGGAATAATTTTAGCCAACTGGGAGAATTAAGATGGAATTTTGAGCAAAAGGTACTTTGCTACAAGCTTTTCAGAAAAATCCCTTACCTTCTACTTCACAGTTCTGACAGAAGGTGGTTTCCTTTGCTGAATGCTCAGGCTCAGTTGGTGTGTCCAGATCGAAACATGACCCTGTTTCCATATTGTGAAATTTCCATTATTCCATTTCCATAATTTAAGACCAGCACCGAAATTCGTGTAGTACAGAGTACATTATTAAATATGCTTTTTTAACCCAACTCTGTTTGGACATACATGTACCTCACACCTACATCAAAAGATGTTTGAAAATGTGCCAATTTGGCAAAATCCTAAGTAAGCTACTCACAGACTCTTGAAAGATATTCTTTAGAGATGATGGCTCTCCTTGATAGAGACCACTGTAGCAGGTAAATAGAGAATAACATGCAGTTCTGGTTTGGTGATTTAAAGGGATGTTAATTACTTCATTAATTATCTGGAGTGATCATATTCAGTTCAACAATTTGTAAGTCCCCAAGAGCCAGGAGAGCTGTTGGGAAACTAACACTGCATGTTCAAGTCAGAAGCAGCTTAGACTGCTTGGATGTGATTTAAATCATGCCTCTTCCCATATTATAATTAAAAGCAAAAGCCACAAGCATTGCCTTAAAATTAATTAGAAAGCTAACCCAAGAGGCATTATACTATAAATGAGATCTGTTATACATTTGTAGTTTTACATGATATGGAATTGATCAACATAGGCATTACTTTAGGAGAATTAACAGTATTGTACTTCTGATACAATTCTGGAGATCTTTTAGAGCATTTTACCTAATCCAGCCGAATGCTTGTTGTGACCCCTTCATGAGAGATATTTCTATAAGAAATCCATCCTTTATTAGAATATGTCCTAGAACAGGAAAGTCATTTTCTCTCTTCAGCTCTTGCTACTCTGCCTTTCATGACCTCCAAGTTTAAAGACTCGGATTTTGTCAAAGAACAAAGGAAAAGACATTTCTGGGACATGGGTCTTGTGTTTACAAAAGAATGAAATTCTAATTATAGCCACATATAAGTTTTTTAAGCTTATCAATCCTACTAGGACTCAGTAGGGACATGTTAGCTGTTGTGAAAGACTCAATATATTTATGATTTTATAGATTACTTTTGAACACATTTACTTGGGTTTCCAGACAATTGATTGGATGAATGAATAACATGGTGGTTTTTCACAGACTTGTTCTAGGTGTATTATACTCTAAGTCTAGGCCCAGAGGGCAGTGAACAGTCAGTCCATTTCTACTCTGCATGCCGGTTGGAAGAGCCCTACAGACCTTTAATGCAAGGACAGCCTCTGTGCCCTTTCAATCCAGATTCTATTGTAATTGTGCGTTTTCTTTTTCCAAATGCTAACACTTCCAGTGGATTTGAAAGGGCAAACATAATCGGTCTTATTTTGTCAACAATAATTCTTTTGTTTATGCCTGAAGTCCTCCAAAATCAATTCATAGGGTCCTGAGGCAAGCACAGTGGGAAGGGAATTGGGTAGACATCTCTGCTTTCATGGTCTTAGAGGCAGCAGAGTGTAGTGGAAAGAGCACATACTTCAGAGTTACTGTTCCACCACTTCCAGCTGTGTGATCTTGGGTTCACCACCTTGACCTGGTCCTTAGCAACTGAGTTGTGAGGAGCAAATGAGCATTCATACCTAGTTGTTAGCCATGCCTGCCGCACTTAGCTGCTTTCCCTTCCCTTTCTTTGGCAATTCCACATAAAAGGATTTATCTTAAGTTAATGATAAAGAGATAGGAAGAGATCTATGGGCCAAGACTTAATGGTAGAAAAATGACTAAACAAATTTTGAAATAGTCATATTTTAGGAGAACATTTAAAGATGGGAATATAGTCACACTATAAGATTTAAAAAAGGAGGTTATGAAATGTCACCTATTCTACAATATGAGCCCGATTTTGCTGTAAAAGGCCAGGGTGGGGGGAGTATTTTCATTCTATTAATAAATGAAAAAAGAATCCTAGAAAAAATACAAAGTAGATTTGTAGTATCTTCCTTTAGTCTGTGTATTGCTTGGTTAGCAGCACTTGACCAGCTGACCTGACCCCCCACATGTGCATGAATATAGTACAAAGGTGACCTTAGAAGCCTATACAGCAAAATATTAACCCTAGTTATCTCGGAATTACCAGTGAGTTTTTGTCAATATAACATATCTTATATTTTGCTTTTACAGTAATCCTCTGTGTGGGATGTGGGGGTGTGTGTCTGTGTGGGGGTGTGTGGGGTGTGTGTGGGTGTTTGTGGTTGGCAGTGGGTGGGAGTCAGGGAAAACACAGTGGCCATACTTTGATGACCCAGAAGCCGGGGGACTGGTACCTGGGGTCTCATTGTACTGTTATCTCCACTTTTGTATGTTTGAAAATTTTCATGATGTGAAGTTAAAATAACATGTAAGTATTAATTTAAAAACTAAATAAATAGAATAAAGGTATTAAAATCTGTGAATTCTATGAAATATATTCCCTATATTCTTAAACTTTTTAATTATAAAATCAGGAATCTTTTTAGTTTCATATTTTAAAACTTTTGCCCTTTTACAAAAAGTAAAATAAACATATGGGGACCTATTTCAATTTAACAGATGTGCCATGATCACATATGCAGGCCACGTTCCGTTTGCACAGCTCTCAGAGTTTGGGGAGTGCCCCATTGCGTTCGCTTTGTCCTCTTGGCAGCCTGTTGTAGGTGAGGAGAGGAGGTGTCTGCTCACAGACGGATATGTCCATGATGCAGATGGCCTCAGCTCATCAGATGCTGCTGCCTGTTTCTACCAGAGAGGGTTCTCAGAGAGAAAACAGTTTTCTTTGTGAAGTCTAACAAATGTACAGAAGCCTCTTTTTCTTTTTTTTTTTTTTTACTAGGTTTGTGCCTGTCAAGTACAAGCCACAGGAAAGATGTATGCCTGTAAAAAGCTAGAAAAAAAAAGAATAAAGAAGAGGAAAGGTGAAGCTATGGCTTTAAATGAAAAAAGAATCCTAGAAAAAGTACAGAGTAGATTTGTAGTAAGTATCTTCCTTTAGTCTTCACCGTGTATTTCTTGGTTAGCAGCACCTTGGCCAGCAGACCTGCTGCTAAACTACTCTCGTGCAAGCCATGGAAGCTATTTGGTGTGTTTCTTAATTTAGCTTATGTGGGGTTTTGCTGTCTCTTGCTATTAACATGTGATGGGTACTGGGAACAGCTTTGTTTTTAGTAACAGCCTTCTTCTTTCTTATTTACATCTTATGAAAATGAAACCGTAGTGATCCTGTTCCTAATTTCTGGTTTGTTGTGATCTGTTGTCCACCGTCTCCCATTCTGTTAGTTACTCCTGATACCTTTTTCCAGCTCACAGAGGATTGTCTAGTTCCGTTAACTAACTTGGTATCTCCTGGGGAAGGGCCCTCTCCTTGCTGTCAGCTTCCAGTCAGCTGCTCTGGCCGGCAGGGAGCACTGTGACCTGTATGTGCTTGAGGACACTTTCGCTATCCCTTCTTCTCATGTGGGCATCTTCTCCTTGGCCTCAGTCTGTTTTTCATCTTTTTCCTTTTTTCTGACACCTGGAAAGTTTACTGCCAGGCCCTCACCTAGCATATGCCAATTATATGAAGCCTCAAATTCCACCTTCACTGTTTCTGATAAGGACAGAATATCCGGTGGCAGTATGAGTGTGAGCTCAAAGGAGCAGTTCCGGCTTTAGGCTGTACATTGTATAATGTGGTTTTCATCTCCAAACCTAGTTTCTCTCCACCACATTGTATATTTCCTCTAGCACCTTCTGCAGTACGAAGGCTGCCTAAAGGCAGAGCGTGGACAATAATTCATAAAACGATTTGTAGTGTTAGAGTTATTTCCTCAAAGCCATTTAGTTCTTAACACTGAGGTCAATTGCTTTGTGCCGGTGGACAAATGTTCCAAAACTGTACATATTCACAGCCAGCATCTGAATTTAATAGCTTGGGTTTGTATGTATGATATGTCAGTTTCACATGCAGTTACATGAAAATCTTTAATAAAATAGGCTCATCTTGGAGTTGCAGTGAACACATTTGTATAGCTACCCTGAAACATAGAAATCCACAAACTAGCTTTCTGAAAGGAGCATATGTAGTACTTACAGTTTATTCCAATTTAAATATTTGGTTTCTACATTCTTAACCTCTCCTAAGGAACCTAGCAATATTTTTCTTCATCTGTGATTCTGTTTTTTCTCCCTACTTCCAGTCAATTGCAGGTCCTGACCTGTCCTTGTGTCACATTCATCCGCACTGCCTCCCTGACCCTCACGGCGGCACCTCCCCATGGAGCTCCTGTCTCTGCCTGTGCTCTCACCCTCAGTCTGTTCTCCATGGAGCAGTCCGGGCCATCTGCGGAAGAGTTCAAGTATTTGCACACTTTCCTGATTAAAACACTCCAGTGGCCACCTATCACACTAAGAATAAAATTAGACTCAGCTCCAGCCTTTCAGGAACCGAGGGACTTGGCTCCTGTAGCCTCAGTCACCCCATGTCATCCCAAGCTCTGCTACATCAAGCCTGGGCCCTGGGGTACCCTCTGCCTGGAGCATTGATCCCTCATTTTCTTATCCTTGGATCTCATGTCCTTCAGGCATTTCTGTGTCAGTAACCTGTCACTCTTTTGATGTTTTCTTTGCATTCATTCTGTTCGTCTGTCACATGCCCAGGCCTCCCCCACCACTACATGAGAGCAGAGCCTAGAAGAAGGCTGGCATGGTAGAAGGTTCTCAATATTATTTTCATATGTATTGAGGGAATATCAAATGAGTATTCACAAGAGGACAGAAAGTAAGGGATCCTGTTAACCCAAGGGAAGGACTAGTGAGAATTCTTGTGGTTTAATTCTGTGGTCTGTTGCATGCCAGCTAGTGACCACAGTGAGCAGTGAGGGACCTCCCTGGACACTTTATCCCCTCCTCTCCTCCATTCTCAGTACTTTCTCCCCTCAACCTGCAACTGGCACTTTCTCTCTATTTTAATACATCGTGACCAAGTTGGATTTATTCTAGGAATAAATTAATATAATTTATCATATTATCAGAATAGTGGGAAAAAAACATATGGTCTTCTCAATAGCTGCAGGAAAATCTTTTGATAAAATTCACTATCCAGTCATGATGAAAAACTCTAGGCAAACCAGGTACAGAAAGGAACTTCCTTTAAATGTCTCTAGCACGTCATACTTAATATGAAAATATTGAAAGCTGTCCCCATGAGATCTGGATGAGACTAGGATAACTGCTGACCATTTCTCTTTAATATTGGATGTTCCAGTCAGTGCAATAAAATATGGGAAAAAGTGAAAGGGATTAAGGTTAGAGAAAAGGGAAAAAAAGGTAGAAAAAACATTATTTCCAAACAACATCGTTGTATATGGAGACAGTCCCAGACTTTCTAGATAACCTGTTGAGCAGCGGTCCCCAATCTCTTTGGCACCAGGGACCAGTTTCATGGAAGACAATTCTTCCATGGATTGGGGGAGAGGGGCAGAGCTCAGGTGGCAAATTGGCAAGCGATGGGGAGCAGCTGTAAATACAGATGAAGCTTCACTCGCTCACCCACCCACCACTCACCTCCTACTATGCAGCCCCCCAGTTCCTAAGTTTCATGAAAGACAATTTTTCCATGGACCTGCAGAGCTCTGTGGCCCAGTCCCTAGGAGGGACAGGGGTTGGGGACTGCAGCTATTGAGGATGCAGCCAAGTGATTAGATGTGAATCAGCCACAAACAATTGGAAAATGAAAATTTTGTTGATACCATTTATAATAGCATCAAGAAACATCAAAATCTAACCAAAGGCCAGGTGAGATGGCACACACTTATACTCCCAGCTACTGAGGAGGCTGAGGTGGGAGGATCACTTGAGACCAGGTGTTGGAATCAAGGTTGGGCAACATAGCAAGACACCATCTCTTAAAAAAATCTAGGCAAAGATCTGACCGAAATGTGTTAAGACTTCTACACTGAGAACTATAAACTGGTGTTACAAGAAATTAAAGGAGGCCTAAATAAATGGAGGGAGACCATGCTCCTGGATTGGAAAACTCAATGTGAAGATGCCAGTTCCCCCCAGTTGATCCATAGATTTAATGAATTAAATGCAGTCCCAATCAAAGTCTCAGCAGGTTATATGTATTAATTCACATACAAACCAATAGAAAAGTGGGCGAAAACTTGAATAGGCATTTCACGAAAGAGGATGATCCAAATGACAAATAAGTTTATGAAAAAGTATGACAACTGTCCCGTGTATTAGCATATAAAGAGACATGGAAATTAAAACCACAGTAAGAGACCACCTGACTCATGCCTGTAATCCTAGCACTCTGGGAGGCCAAGGCAGGAGGATTGCTCAAGGGCAGTAGTTTGACACCAGCCTGAGCAAGAGCAAGACCCTGTCTCTACAAAAAATAGAAAAATTAGCCAGGTGTGGTGATGCACATCTGTTTTTCCAGCTACTAGGGAGGCTGAGGCAGGAGGATCATTAGGGCCCAGGAGTTTGAGGTTTCAGTGAGCTGTGATGATGCCATTGCACTCCAGCCTGGGAGACAGAACAAGACCCTGTTTCCCCCACCAGCCCCCAAAAGAAAGTCCCCTCCTTTTGATATGGAGCTGCAGTAAGATCTTCAATAGGTGGAGGTCCAGGAGGCACACACGAAGCATGGTGTACATTTCTCTGAAGTATATAGTATTCAGGTGTTCTAATTCTAAATCTAACACAGATTATTTGAATATTGTTACCAAATAGAGTAAATCACCAATGAATGAGTTTTTTGTGTTTTGTTCTTATGATGTCGCTGTCTTTAGGTTAGTTTAGCCTACACTTACGAAACCAAAGATGCCTTGTGCTTGGTACTCACCATTATGAATGGAGGGGATTTGAAGTTTCACATGTACAACCTGGGCAATCCTGGCTTTGATGAGCAGAGAGCTATTTTTTATGCTGCAGAGGTGTGTTGTGGCTTGGAAGATTTACAGAGGGAGAGAATTGTATACAGGTAAGGAGGGTGCTGCCTGAAGGAACTATAAGCCTTACAGCTGCATCTCCCCTGCCCTGGGCTTCCCCTGGCTCCACTGGCTGCTTGCAGGCTGGGCGGGAGAGCAGCAGCTGGGGGCCCCTCAAAGGTGATTTCTAGGGGTGGCATTCACACTGTTGGAAATACGGCGAGAGGTGAGCCCTGGTTTTCTTTTTAGTTTCTCGTTAATTTCTAATAAATTGTCAATTTGAAGCAAAAGTTTGTCTTTTACTTATTAAGTTGATAAAATAAAGGTAGTGCTAGTCACATAAGCATGAGAAGAACCCATTTCCAAGACTCTTAGATATTTTGACAGTTCTGATAATGATATTGATTATGTCCCACCAGAATAACGTAATTAAATGTTTTGAAATAATAGTTTCTTTTTTTACATTTTATAATTCAGTAAAGAAAATAAAATTAAACTCAATAGTTAATTTAGCATAAGCAGTATATTTAATTTTTGAAAAATAGTTCCTCCACCTAGCCTTTAAATGCTGGAGTTCCTGGGCCGGAGTCTCTGCTCAGTCGCTCTGCCTGGCAGTTTCCCATGTTCCCTTCTGTGGGCTCATCTATCACTGACAGTCAGCCTTCATATTGATGGGTTCTGCATCATGAGTTCACCCAACCACAGATCAAAAATATTGAGGAAAACAGGCCGGGCGCGGTGGCTCACGCCTGTAATCCTAGCACTCTGGGAGGCCGAGGCGGGCGGATCGTTCTGAGCTCAGGAGTTCGAGACCAGCCTGAGCAAGAGCGAGACCCCGTCTCTACCAAAAAATGGAAAGAAATTAATTGGACAGCTAAAAATATATGTAGAAAAAATTAGCCGGGGATGGTGGCATGTGCCTGTGGTCCCAGCTACGCAGGAGGCTGAGACAGTAGGATTGCTTGAGCCCAGGAGTTTGAGGTTGCTGTGAGCTAGGCTGACGCCACGGCACCCGCCCCAGGCAAGAGAGTGA